GTCAGTTTCTGTGTATGCATTTTAAGAAACATTCTTCTTCATTAATATAGGGGGTACTTAGTTCACAAAGGGCTTTTGCTGGTAAGTAACTTCAGTGAGTCTGTGGCACTCACACTTGGAAAAGGTCCAGCTTTAGGTTTCCTCTGGCAACGTATGGTAGATCTTGGCCTGAAAAGTGACGTTTACAGCCACAGAAGCACTTCACAGATCCTGGAACCTTCTGCACAAGATGTTCATGGATGATTTAACTCGTTTAGATATTTCTTGGAAATAAACTTCAAATGGTTCTTTGTTTCCCAGCGCTTCAGGCATACCTGGCTAGGGAGCCTCACTGGCTTTTTCTGTGGAGGAAGGATGTTTCATCAGAACTCTGAGAAGACACCTCAAAAAATAAAAACACTGAACTTTTAAATTTATGTTGATTTAACAATAACAAATCAATAGAAATTGATACAACCAAAAGAAGAAGAAAGGGAAGAAAAATGGAAGGGGGAAAAGCAACACTTTCAACCAAGCAGCACAAACATTGTTTTAAGTTTAGTTCTATCCTGCTGTCCCTTTAATTGGTGGTGGTTGTTGTGTGCCTTCAAGTAGTTTCCAAACTAAGGTGACCCTCTCACAGGATTTTCGTGGCAGGCTTTTTATAGAAGGGGTTTGCCATTGCATTGAGGCTGAGAAAGTGTGACTTGCCCAAGGTCATCCATATCTGAGAAGGGATTCAAACCCTGGTCTCCAGAGTTGTAGTCCAACACTCAAACCACTTCACTCATAGTGTTTCAGCCACATTGGGGTGAAACAGACCACCTCAAAGCAGCGGTGTGATGCTGCCCCTAAGAAAGCTGGGTGGACACCACAGTTACTGCACACCGTGGTCTCACTCCAGCTTTTTTCCAGCAAAAAAAGAAGTGGTAAAAAGAAGGCATCTTTTCCACTGCCACCGCTGTGGCTTTTCAGTGCTCCTATGGCATATAAATGGCTGTTAGAGAGCTACAACGCTGCCTGCCGTGTGGTCATCTAAACGATGCACCCAAGCCGCCGAGAAGGCAGCGCAAAGGGGCAGTCTGTTTCATCCCGTTGTCTCAGTAATCCCTACAACTGGTTGGGGGATGTGTAACCCTGCGAATGTTGCTTTCCTTCAGAGCATGTATGTAGTCAGCTATTAGTGAAAAGATGAGAAGCACTCTTCTTGTAAATGTTCCAGTCTGTCCTAAATAAATAAATAAATAAATAAACGCACACCCCTTAAACCTAAAAGGGCTTTTGTAGTACAGCTGTATGGTTGCCTGCAATCATCTACATAGCAAGTAGCACTAACAATTAATAGGTATTCAAGTCAATCTACTCCTATTCTCAAAAGCAGTATGCATATAGGACCAGCCCCACTAGCAGTTCTATGCCAAGACAACTATTTAGGCCAGGGAAGGTATTCCTCTACTCACCTCCTCCTCACAGCTGTGTTCAGCAGCATTGTTCTGTTGTTTGTTTTTTTCCAGCTCACGTTGCAGACTATCAAACTTTGATTTGAACCAGTGGTGAGCTTCCTCCAAATTAGCAGTTATCTGGAAGAGGGAAGGCAAGGTCAGAAGCAAAGTACTATTAACTACTGTAACTGTATGTGAGGGCACGCAAAATGTAGCTTATGTAAAGCTCAGTAAAGTTCAGCTAATAGATTTTAAGGAAGGAGAAGGGAGAGCTGTTGATTAGAAGTCTCTTCCAGTCAGCAAATGGCAGAAAAGGGATCAAACTATTTTGGCCATCAAGATGCAATATAATAAGTCATGTTGGGATACAATATCAGTTTTGTACTGTATTGACATGATACAATATCCTAGCTTTAGGGTGGGGTTTGTATGTGTGTGTGTGTGTTTTACTGAATCTGACTGGCATGTTAATACAAGTGATTTTATAAAGTCACAAAGCAGAATCAAATTTCAGTTGATTATTGCATTACTTTTAATGTACTTAGCAAACAGCAAGATCTGAATAAAACAGGTCAAGCCTATTTCTATAATTTCCATAGGACTAAAAGCTTCACCAAACTAAGGAGCCCAAAGACACATAACAAATTCCTCAGCCCTAGGTTCTTTCTTCCTCTACTTCTGAACCTACCTGTTCTGACTCAATACTGGCTGCTTTCAGCTTCTGTTCAGTATGCTCTTTGCATTTCTTCAAATGGTTGACTGTGTCTTCCAGAGCCTAAATGTATCAAAAAGTGCAACTCAGTAAAATCAGTTGTTGTTCTCATATGTTTTCAACACTAATTAAGAGTCTAGATCAGCGTGGTAAAGGCCACTCAATTCTATGGCTCTCGTTTGGTATGTACCAAGCAAGAGGACAAGGGAAGAAGACTTTTTCTAATAAGAGACTCGAGCGGCTACCACCCCAGACAGAGCTTCAAGATGCTCTGCAGCCATATATCTCATTTCTTTTATTTCTAAGATTAGTAAGACTGGACTTGAGGCAACTGAAAATAAAATTATATAAAATTTAATAAAACACATGTAATCAAAATATAAAATATTGAAATATGACAATTAAAAATACACCACTAAAAACCCCATCCACCCAGTTAAGAGCTCCTATATGAACCCACCTTAACAGCTAAAGAACTAAAATGCCTTTGCCTGCTGATAGAGAAGAAAGTCCAGCTGAGAGTCCCAGAGTCTATGGAGAGCCACCGAGAAAGCCCTCTTTCACATCACCAGATGTGTCTCTGAGGGTGGTGGGATGAAGAATAAGGCCTCCCCTCCCCTTCTGAAAACCCAGACAGCCTTGTATAAGAGAACATCGTTCTGTACATAGCCCTGACTAACTTATAAAGAGCTTTATTTGTCATGATCAACCCTCTGAATTGTGCCCAGCGACAGACTGCAGCCATTGCAACTGCTGAAACAAGGAACCCCATCCTTCCTGGTGAGTCATTTAGTCCAGGATTTTACATATACAAAGTTTCTGAACTTTTCAACAGCAAACCCACACTGACACACAGGCCTTCATTTCAATAGGCAGAGACCTCTTTACCTGGCACTCTTCTTCAAGCTGTTTCCGTCGTTTTCGCTCTAGTTCCAACTGGCTTTCCAGGTTTCTCTTCTCTGCTGCCATTGCTTGTTGATTTTTGGCCAATTGTTGCATTTCAGTTTGCAAGCTTGTTAATTCAGTGATAAATTGTTTGATACTGAGGGACTAGATATGAGAAGAATCAGATCTCATGACCACATAATGTTTTAATCTAGGCTTAACTCCTAGCACACTATGGGAAGGGAGTCTACCTGCTCATGGTTTTTCTTCTGGTACTGCTCCTTCAGCTCTTCCATTTGCCTCAATTCCGACTCAATCTCCTGAAAATGATTCAAAACAGTGATATGAAAGTGTCTAAAGAAAATGTTCTTCCCTGTCAGAATGCATACTGGCATTGTTCAGGCAGCATGTGGCTGTGTTTCGGCAGCTTATGACATCCTTTTAGGACAGCTGAGGTGAGTTGCATGCGCAGGAGGAGGAGGAAGCAAGGATACTGTACCAGGCCCTTATAGGATCCTAGCCATTCATTTTGGCTTTCTCCTGTTCAATTTTAGATTGTCAAAGCTAGGCTGCCTTTTTTAAACTGTGAATTGTGAAAACCCTGTCTGAGAAATAGAGAGAATGCCTTTAACAACTGTACACCCTGAGGCTTTTAGTAGGGAAACTTTCCCCATTGTAGTGCTGTTGGGATAGGCAATCAGTAGGGCCTTCCCTTGAAGATCTTGGAGCTTAGGCAGACTCTTTTAGGGAGGTGCAGATATAGGGTTTTATAGGTCATAGCCAGCATTTCTCTTGGTCCAACCATTTCCCAGCTAGCGGATACAAGGAAGAGGGCCTTCTCACTGGGTGCTCCCATACTTTGGAAATCTCTCCCTAGCAAGGTGAGGACAATTCCTTCTTTGCTGCAAGTGAAAACCTTCCTACTCCAACAACCTTTCAGAAAGTGACTTCAATAGGCTTTTAATGGTATGTTCTTTTGTTGTTTTTATATCTTGTTTTTAAAATACATTTTAATGTAATAAAATATAGACTCCTTAATTTTTTAAATAAATAACAGCTGGCATGTTTTTCAACAGTTATGAGATTGTAAATTGGATTTATGGCCTCATTAATTGCTGGGAATTCACATATGCAGTCACTAATATCTGAACATGATCCCAAAAATCTACCTTCTCAGCCTGATAGCACTCCAATCAAAGCGTTTCCGAAACACTGTAGACCAAGGCGTTGGAAAATGACACAAGGCACGCTGAGACAAAAAGCAATGGCAGGACCCCGAGGTGTGTCTCTAGCTGTTTGTTCTTGACAAGCCCCTCTACCAGGCTAAGAAGATAGGTTTTGGGGTGTGTGGCATCATCAGACCCAACTATTACGGCAGATCTCTGTCTCTGCAGTCACATCTTATGATGCAGGATCTTGGCCAACAATGTATTATTACTTGATGTTTTTGTATGTTTTGAATTTGTTCTGGTTTTAAAGCCACTTTAAGCCCCAATATCAGGAAAAGGTGGGATATAAATATCATCATCACAAGCAGTGGCAATAGCAGCAGCAGGGTAGAATTCAAGGGCTAGATTTGGCAACCTCATTGCAATTTCACCCTCTTTTCCTACTACATCACAATGATTCCTGAGAAGCAACACTGAGAGAGAAGTAGGAGTTAATGGTTGTTTCTGGCAATAGGATTAATGCGAAGTTAAGTTCAATGCCTAATTCCCTCAAAACAGAGCAATTTTTAAAATAAGCAGCGATTGGTCTTTCTTAGACCCATGTCTGCTGAAGGGAAGATGTATACTTTTTGCCTTATTTAAAAAAAAAAAACAGGGTTGAAGAAAGCTAGTACAGTCTTTCCAACTGACTATGATACACTGGCTTTGTAGCTTCTCTTCCTGCAAGTGTGAAAGAGACTGAAAAGACTGCTGCTATGAGACAACACAATAGCCACAATTACATAATAAGCATGACATAGCATGACACTGGGGGTCAGCGTGGTGTAGTGGTTTGACCATTGGACTATGACTCTGGAGACCAGGGTTTGAATCCCTGCTCAGTCATGGAAACCTACTGAGTTACCTTGGGCAAGTCACATTCTCTCAACCTCAGAGGACTGCAAAGGCAAACACCACTCTGAAGAAACTTGCTGAGAAAACACCATGATAGGATCACCTTGTCGTTGTTATGTGCCTTCAAGCCATTTCCAACTTATGCCAACCATTATGGCGATCCACAGGGTTTTCTGGGGCTGGGAACGTGTGACTTGCTGAATGGGGGAATCAAAACTTGATCTCCAGAGTCCAACTCCTACACTCAAACCACTACACCACATTGGCTCTCAGGGTTGCCATAAATCAGAAACAACTTGAAGGCACACAACAATAACAAGATACTATAGTGTAATCCATATCAATAAAAAGCTGAAGGTATTTTGCAGTTACCGCAGAAATGCAGCTAGGAATATCTTACTCTAGGCCAGAATGAACAAATCTCTCAAAATATTTGAGCAACCAATTGTTCCTTCCTAAATTTTGGTGTATGTCTTCCAACTAATAGGTGCAGGGTATGTTTTCTAAAATGAGACCAAAAGAAAAAAAATGCACATGGTCCAAGACATCAACTCACCTTCATTCTCTCCATATTTTGAGCACTGTGAGTCTTGGAGTTGAAGTACTGTGTGATCAATGTTTTCTGTCTCTTCACCTTCTCCTTCTGACTAGCCAGGGCCGACTCCAGCTCCATCACTTTTGTTCGTAGTTCCCTGTTACAGCGTGACATTTCTCCAGATTTAGAGCAGGCCTCTTCAAGGGCTTTCTTCAGCTACAGGGTATCAAGAAATGGTCAATTCCTGTTCATTTCAAACAACAGAGTGATTGAATGCCAGTGCCGATAGATTATTTTGCTCTTATCAACACAAGAGCTTTCCAAATTTTGGTAACCTATTTTTAAGGCAACTTCTCTGGATTATTCAGCTGGAGTTCCGATTCTTCCTTACAGTACAAGAGATTCCTAGTTCAAATCCCAAACAAGTTCTGCCCATGAGAGATAGGGCCTATAACTCAGTGGTTGCAGACATTGTTTGCATGCAGAAGGTCCAAATTCCTATCATTTTCCATTACACAAAAAAGGAATGGGAGGAGGTAGATCTCCAGTGTAAATTGGATCCATCTTACTGCCAATCTAACATTTTATTACCAACCAAAGCTGTCCAGAAAGGCCCATTTAAGTGTGAAAGCTGTCCTGCTCCCCTTTCCTCACCTCAGTTGATTCCTTGTGGGCTGCTTTCATTGTGACTTCCCGCTCAATCTGAAACTGTTTCTTCAGTGTCTCAAGGCGATCTGTGTACAGCTTTGCCTCCATCTTGGTTTCCTCAATCAGCTGGTCCCTTTCAGGTAGGCAGAGGGGGGAAAATGACAGATTGGATTTACCATGAAGATTCATTCAGAGATGGCTGGAGGAGCAATCCACTACTACTGGGTTTTCCTCATGCCAACTGGACCTTCAGGAGTTCTACATTCTTTTTCGGTTCTCTTCTGTTGAATTCCTGCCCTCCTCAGCCAGTTTATTTGTAAAGCCATAGCGATATTGTAACCCTATCTAACCAATTTAATTAATTTGGTGTGTGTGTGTGTATTGGTCCTCCAGTCATCTCTGAATGAATCTTCATGGTAAGTCCAATCTGTCATTCACAAGATGGCTGGAGGAGAAATCCACTACTACTGGGATATACCCAAGCCCTTTGATTCTGAGTGGGATTAATTTTTTGAAAGGACAAACTGCAGCTTTTGCTAAATGCCTTATGAATGTTGATGGTTCTCTCCATCCAGCAGCCTCACATACTTCAGGTAATGATCCGGACACAGAATATGCTGATGCAGTGGCCACTGACCTTGTTGAATGTGGTCAGACATGACCTGGTTTTGGTTTTTAATCCCAGTCATAGCAAAGGAAAATACATTAATCCATCTCCCAATAACTGTTCTAGAGGTTTTTTGACCTATATAACTAGTGATTCTGTTTTTCTAAAATATCTCATTTTTATATATACTTTCATAGCTCATCTAACATCCAAGGTATGCCATCTCCTCCAGATGTTGTGGATTAGGGCAAAAGTTTGAAAGATATAACGCCTCTGATATCATCCAATGGCTTGGACATTTTGGCAAAAATGTTGGATCCAATGTTAATACTAATGTGTCTTTCTCAATTCTACAATAATTTGAGTTTATGGATAATGCCAACAATTCCGATATTCTCCTTGGTGACACTATGGCAATCAGAAAAGCGACCTTGTAAGTTAGCATTCTTAGTGTGGCCTTGGAGAAAGGTTAAAAAGTATCTTGGGGCCTTTGCAGACTGCCAGAAATAGTGCAAATTGAGTCCACTTTAACTGCCCTGACTTAGGCCTAAGCAGACTGCCAGAAATAGTGCACATTAAATTGAGGCACTGCCCTGGCTCGGTGCTAGGGAATCATGGGAACTGTAATTTATTGTGGCACCTGAGCTCTCTGACAAAGAAGGCTCAATGTCCCAGAAAAAAATGCAGTTCCCATGATTCCCTGGCACTGAGCCAGGGCTGTGCCTCAATTTAATGTGCACTATTTCTGGCAGTCTGCTTAGGCCTTTAGTGCTAGAGAATCATGGGAACTGTATTTTATTGTGGCACCAGAGCTCTCTGACAGAGAAGGCTCCATGTCTCAGAAAAAAATACAGTTCCCATGATTCCCTAGCATTGAGCCAGGACAGTTAAAGTGGACTCAATTTGCACTATTTCTAGCAGCCTGCAAAGGTTCTTAGTTAACCTGTTGAGTACCAGATTTAAATCCCACGAAGGAAATCTATGTCTGGTAGGGAAGGATTTCAAAGTCCCCATAAGAAACGTTTATATGCCATTGACCTGATAGGGGAATATCCTCAAATTCTAGAAATGTAGACAATGCTGATACCTGTCTCTTTAATGTGTTAGGTTTTAAACCCTTTCTTAAACTGTCCTGTAGGAATTACAACATGTGTTTAATTCCACCTCCACATATCGTACATCTTTGTCTAAACACCATGGATCAAATCTTTTCCAGGTTCTAGCATATATTGATGTTGTGGATTCTCTGTGATGACATTATCGTTTCTACTACCTCTCTGGAATATCCTTGTTGCCTTAATTTTTGGCAGTCCATCTCCAAGCTGTCAAATTGAGCCAACCTTGATCCAGATGTATAATTGGCCTTTGGCTTAAAAGATCCATTCTGTGCGGCAGTCTGTACGGAGAAACTGCCGACATCTGAAGAAGTCGAGACCTCCATGGCAAATAAGGTGCTATTATTACAACTGTTGCTCCTTGCTGCTGTATTTTGTTTAGGACCCTCGGAATTATTGGAATGGGTAGGAATGCATAATGACACCCCTTGGGCCATTTTATCAGTAAAGCATTGTTTGCTTCTGCATCCTTGCTCCCATCTAAGAAATAAAACCGTGGTAGTTTTGCATTCTTTGCAGTTGCAAAAAGATCCATTGTAAATGGGCCCCACTTCTCCTGAAGTTTGTGAAATACTTCTGGATACAGTTCCCATTTGCCTGGATGTAATTTGTTTCTGCTTAAATAATCTGCTTTTATATTGCATGCTTCTTTCAAATAAACCGCTGTCAGTGATTTCAGATATTTCTCTGCTCTGTTCAACAGTGGATTTGATTCCTTCACCAATGACTTTGAATGGAGCCCGCCTTCTTTCATTATATATATGCTCTCACTGTCATGCTGCCTGTCCTTACTTGTACATGACGTCCTTGAACATGCCTCATAAATGTGACTAGAGCCAGCCTGACTGCTTTTAATTCTAAGCAATTGATGTTATGAGTCTTGTCTATGAGCATCCATTTTCCTTGTGCTGTCATTTGCTTCAAATGGGCTCCCCATCCAGACTTGCATCCGTCGTTACCTGTATATATTATGGTGTCTTTAACAACACTCCTTATGATGTTGTCCCCAAGGAGACAACATGAAAGATATCTAAGTTCCCATTACTTCTGCCAGCTTCATTAATTGTATTTTGTCTCTGTGTAGTATAGACATTATCATTTTTCTTAATTTTTGTTTTCTTTCTTTTAATAACATGATGTATCCTGTTTTGGTATTTATCACTGCTCCCAAATGTATCAAAGAAGTAGCTGGTATTAACTGACTCTTTTTGTAATTGATGAGGAAGCCATGTTTCTCTAGTATGTGAATTGTATATTTGAGATCTTGTTGTAGCTGAGCCTTTGTCCTTGCCTTCAATAAGATATCGTCCAAGTATGGAAATAAATTGACTTTTCTTCTTCTCAGGTACGCTGTTACAGGTATCAAGACCTTTGTAAAGACTCTTGGAGCTGATGCCAACCTGAATGGAAGAGCTTTGAATTGAAAATGGTGTCTCTGGTATTGAAATTGTAGATATTTTTTTGTCTGACGGATCCATGGGCACATGAAGGGAAGCTTCTTTCAAGTCTATCGGTGCCATCCAATCTTCTAGTCCACATTTTCTCGTATTGTGTTCAACTTTTCCATTTTGAATCTGTAATATTTTACATATGTATTTAGATAGTTCAACTTCAGAACAGTACAGTATTTCCCATTTGGCTTTGACACAGTGAAGAATGTTGAGTAAACTCCTGAACCATATTGAGTTACGGGTACTTCTTGTATTGCATTGGTTTTTAATCAATATTGAATTTCTTTTACTACTGTGCTGTATTTCAATTTCTGTTTTGATGCCAGTGAGGTTACACATCTGGTTATCAGTGACCTTTTGAATATTATTTTGTAACCATGAGTCATTGTTTGAAGAACCCATTGATTGGATGTTATGTTGTGCCACAAGTCTCCGTATAACAGAAGACGTCCTCCCACCAGTACTAATGAATTGTCAATATTGTTGTTTTCCTCTTTTCTGAGATTGTCCTCCACTTCTATTTTGTTCTTGTCTGTAAAAGTAGGATTGTCTTCCATTTGTTTCTCTTGTTCTGGTCCACTGCCTCTGCCATCTGTTTCCATTATATTTTTCTGTGGCCCTAGGCCAGAGGTAGG